ATCGATGGCTTGTCGGAAACGCCATTCCTTGCGTCATTACCATGTTAACGATATGACGACATCGCGAGATTGCAGTATTCGCGTCGTTTGTCTCGTGTGAATTGAACTCACAGTTACCGCTCGAATTTCCGTTAAGATAAATCAACAGTTCCGGAGTTTAAAACAGACTGCATATCCAGAAGTTATAAGGGCTGTACGTGGTGAGGAGACCTGACGACACAGACAAGTGACTATATGTAATCAGAGTACCCCTCCCCCCTTTCCCGGTTACCATACCGACACACTGATTACTCGTAGGTTCGCCACTAACAAGAGAGGAGATTACTCAGCGCCAGAAACATAGGTTCATCATGGAATTGCTCATTAGATACAATTCCCATCACTCATGTGGCTTCGAGACCCACAACGTCCATATTTTAATCAACTCGGCGTTTTATTTGTCAAGCGTGCCTTCGGGCGCATGACTCTCATTTAAAATGAATTGTAATAAAATCGAACGATGTCTTAACTCCAAGTCCTATCTCGGTTTCATATTCAAAAATATCGATATCATGCACTGGTATTTTCAAAATAGTGTGTATACGATATGCAAGCTCTGGCCTTCTACTGAAGATAAATATGTAAGACTATACTATGAGGGGGGCAAGGGTTATTTTCGTTCAACGTAATTGCAATATTTTTTTGTTCGTACAACGTAAATAGAAAAAACAAATTCTGTAATTCTCTAATCACAGGCTAGACGTACAACGTAATCAATCAAATATTTTTTTCGTACACTGTAAAAATGTGTCATTTTTCTCGGTACGTACAAGAATTTACATCCAAATAAAAAAATGACACAATTCACTACAAAATTGAATGTCCAAGACGTAAAAGGCCCTCTAACCGAATGAAGAGCATTACGAGGGTAATATGCGCATGCGTCTCTACACACGGCGCAGTAATGGCGGAGCATTTGAGTCGGAGAGCTCTTTGGACCATTCAATGTTCCATTTTTTAACATTGTAAACTGTAAAAACGTCTTTTTTTTCCTTGTAAATTGTAAAAAGCCCTTTTTATTTCCCGTAAAACCGTACCAGCTACCCCCCTTGCCTCCCCTCTACTATCTGTTGGCAGAGTTGGGACTATTTCATTATTTATAATGCACGTGGCGCGTTGTATAATTGAAATAGTCGGAACAGATGACTGCTACATTAAAGCGGGAGAGTCGACACCTGCGCATGCGTCAGATGGCCATAGCGTGTCATTGTTTACAAACAAGCGTCTGCTCATGAGCCTTTGCATTTTTAGGGTGTGTTGTTATCGTCGCTTGGCACTCAACTCCCACGCGTGCGCAGGTGACGACCTTCCTCGATCATTTGTTTTGTTTTCTAAAACATTAGATTCCTCCACAACTTTTATGAGAGTTTATTTTAAAAAGTGGATCAACCCATTTTACATTAAAAACGTCAATTCTGAAAGAAAGAAAAAATGTCGCATCAAATTTATAGATATTTGTTGAGTAGTCCTCCAAATGTTTCACCCAATTTAAGTGACGTCATGGAAATGAACCACAATAATGTGTGGGGCCAAGTTACAAAGGCATTCAACGCGTTTGACTTGTTATTGACCTACACACACAAAAAATATCCAATATACCTGAATTACTTTTCAGGACAAAAAACAAACAAACAGAAATTAGATAGTGGTCTTCAATTGTTCCATACATAATTTCGCAGTGCATTATGGGAGATCTAATATTACCTCAGAATTTCTCTATCAAAACAACATTTGCGTATTTTAAATGCATTTTAATATAAATCCCGAAGATTAAACAAAGAGGACGCAGAGGTGAGTCGCTCGAGGGGAATTAGTTCAATAATATTAGGCCTTACAAGAAATTCCTCTGACAAAGACGACAATGTATACTCATTGTCTTGTGCATTTATTTTAGACAAGGTATCTATCCCTGAAAAATAGCACAGACAGGTTTTATCCGAATATTTAAAAGGGAAAATAGTACATCGATTGTATTCTAAGCAATTCATTAATTATTTAAGAAAGGGTCTACAATAGATACGTTTAAATGAGGTGACAATCTGTGAAAGTTATTGAAATATTCCATCAATAATAGAAAGAGAGTACAATATATTGATTGTAGGCAATCTATGAAATGTACAAATTTGCAAAAAAATTATAATTTATGAATTCAGAAGGGGATGCACGAAAATATATTTTAGACGAGTAGGCAAAAGTAGAAGATATAGCTTATCTTGGGGCATGGAAAAGGATTTCATTGGTTTGGCTCAGAGTTATCAATGACTCGAACGCTTGAAATATACGTGTGTGCAATAAATACATCACTCCTCACTAGACATCTGGTTTGCGCAATAGGTGCGGCTCTGGGTACTCATATTAAAAATTATGTGCAGATCTCGCTGTGCTTTACCACCCCCCCCCCCCTCCCCGTTGGGACTCAGTCGATGTTTTTGATACCCACTTTTGAGATTTACAACCATTTAAGCAAAATTTGTGGAATCCCAAAAGCGCCTCTACTTTGGTATTCTTGTTTAATGGCTATGAGGCACTCTACTTCAAAATTCCGGTTCGTAGGATTGTGAGTAGTAAGAGTTCACAAAATCACTTGCGGGAAATAAGAACTCGTTTGACGTCGAGTGCCGATGTTGATGGAGTTGCTGATGTCAGCAAAATACTAAATGGTTGTTCCCGTCAAATTAATATATCACCCTTCATCTAGAGCGTGTGATAGCTTTATCAGTATCATCTATTGAAAAGATGGTGTCTTCCGTGGATGTTATTGAGAGATAATTTCCATCCGGTGAGGTAGATCCGTCCGTGGAAGGTATTAACTCCGTTAGTACCTTCCATGATCTGTCAAGCCTCGACCACCGAATAGTTTCAAAAGCTTTTTGCAATAACACGGATTGACAATTCGAAATGTTGTTCTCTCTTTTCAGAAGAATGTGAGGAACATTTCATATATATTTTTAAAGAAAAAACACTTTCACCATGTGCGAAATTGCGAAAAAGCCAGACAGAGAGCCAACTCAGTACAATGCGCCAATTATATTCAACAATTGCAATTGCCATGGTAACAATTTAACATCATTTGTTGTTCTCTTTTCTTTTTACACCCAATTATGTCAATCAAAGAATTGACTTGTTCGTGTTCGTCACTTCTCAGTTATTATTTGAAATGTTAACGATAACTTTATTTTACTTTTCTTCATCTTAGTAACGTGACACCCTTTATATACTGAGTAAACCTCGATTTCTCAGCATTCCCCCGTGTTTTGCAACGAGCGACGTATGGCAATAATTGACGTTCCGTTCAAATATATAAAGCCACTTTTTTTTAACAAAGTAGTTTTATTTGTTTTTATCTGAAGGTAAGCCCAAATTAGTATATATGAAGAGAATAGACGCGGTGATAACTGATCAAGACTCCACTGTACTTCCTTCAAAAAAAAATAAATCGATCAGAAAATGGTTGAATCTGAGATTACTGAAGTTAAGTAAACGGAGTTCATTAGCTTGGGAGATCATTATCAAATGATTCAAGTACATATGTGAAATAAGCTCGTTACTAAGGGCGGTATTCATCGAGTTAAATACGCTAATGATTCGATATCGAGGTTTATCTGTAAACTATGGACATGCGTGGCTGTACAGTTCATGTTGCCATGGCTACTAATATACGGTATGATATGCCACAAAATGTTTTATTTTTCTTTCAGGAAATAATTGTGTAGTTCGAGCTTAAAGAATATGCGCAATGCAAATTCAGTAACTTTGGAGTATATAGGTTAGATTAATTAGGTCATGGACCCTAAAAATCCGGGGGTCTATGGTTATGTATCACTCTAGTTGAACACCATATCTATTGTCGACTGGAAACGGTAGATTGGACTTTTTCGATAGTGTTATATATGAAACAACAACAATACATGTTTTGTTTTAGTTTTGATTGGGTATATTTTCTGATCAACAAATAATGACAAATATATTCACAATACAAATATATAATCATCGCTGAAATGAGTCAACCAATCAATTAGATGGGTGTCAGTTTAAATTGATAATATCACTCTTTAACGTGTTAGCACGGATACGTTACGTGTCGACGCGTCACAGTTGGGCAAAACCACAGTCACCCGGCCGACGGCGATGTGACGTGTGCATCACATTCTCCCTGGGTGCTCGATGAAAGCGGCCGGGAACGCCGGGCGAAAACAACGATATTCTATCGTGCTGAATTCAATACCGGGAAATGATTTTACCTCGTATTTGTATAAAAGGACCAAGCCAAGCTGTTGCAAATTCACCGTATTCAACTAATACAAATGGTATCTCCGCCATATTAGACTTGCATAGTCTTTTGTTTATTTTTTGGTGTTTTTTTTCAATAAAATAAAATCTTATGGGATTGTATAAGTGGCGAAAGCCTGGTTACCGTAAAATAAAACAACAAATAAACAAATTTATTTCGCGGTAAGCCGGTTCTCTCATTTATACGCTCCCATAATAGTTTATTTTATTGAAAACACACACAAAAATAAACATGAGACTGTATGTAAGTCTACCCCCCGTATAAACGTGATGTTCACAATGGGCAATGTTTTTATTAATAACAATGTATTTGAACTTTGACCTTGATCTTTAACTTCTCCTTTTCTTGATTTGGCATTCATATTAAGAAACCTCATTTATCGTCTAGTTTGCGCGTGACTGATCACATTCAGTTGGCACAATACAATTGATTCATGAGCCATGGTGTCATTTTCCCAAACATACCTACTGTGTCTGAATTACAAAATTAAAACCCAATCCCCCTCTCCGCTCATGATATGGACTTTCCCTTATTTAATATGTTCCACACAATCGCCTGGATTAAAATGTGACCGTGTATGCGGTCGACATCAATATGTAGCAGTGAATTTATTACATGAGTCACGAACATATGACGTGTATCGTATTTTCACAATAATAAAGACACGTACCTTCCTTCCATCTAGCGTGACGTAACCGAATGGGTCCTTGTCGAAAGATTTCGGCGGTGGTTCGTCCGCTGCTAGGGACTTGTCATCTCCATGTTTCCCGGTATCGGTATCGCCACGCTTCGTTTGCGATGCCTCGTTGTTGTTGTTGTTGTCGTCGTGCGACGGTTCGTTCACACGTTTCGCTGCTTTCTCTTGATCAATGTAAACGTTTCGGAAACCCCATGCGATTCCCTGCGGCGGGCCTACTATCGACGACGAGCTCGTCTCCGACCGTTCCGTCCACGTAAACAGAAACAGACCAATGTATACGGAGAATGAGGTCACTAGACATAGCATGCATCCCAACCGGCATCGCATGGCATTGCTGGTGTCTCTTACACTTGATTGTACTCGACTGTGTCAGTGAAACGACGAACAGCTTGACGGAAACATGTTACGAAATAAATTTGTATTTGTTTGCTCACGTGACCGAATCTGCTTTTAAATTGGGTGATACTATTCATGCACAGGGGTGTAATCGAATCTCTATGACAGCCGTGCGACGGTGCAGTGGCAGCAATGACTAGAACACGATGTCCGTCAATCGTGCATTATGCGTAAATTCTTTCAGAATAAAGGTTTGAACAATATCAAGGATATGAGAAACTTGTTTGACGCGGCCATGTTTGTAAACGAAAACTACGAATGAAAATTCCACGACCTAAATAGGCAGAAACATATCAGGCGATCAGTGGAATCACAGTGAGGGACTGTGGTGAAATCTAGTCACCCGAAAACAATGGTCTCAAATATTTACGAGGTATCCATGATGAATTTATTGATACGTCTCAAATTGTGTTTATAAGCCCAGTCAAGTTTCCTCCGCCGTCATTATAAGGTATTGAGAAAAACGACAAGGTCATTACAAAGGGTGTAAACATTGTACATGCATCTGCTATTGTGCCTTACTGGTGACATGTGACGCCCAATTGTACTATGGCCGGGAACACGCAGTTGGGGACACCTGGTATTTGCATTGTGATGAGGCCTTACAACAACAACAAAAACTAGTACTAATCATAAAGTAGCATATAGGCGTCCATTTGGTCACGTGACTATCCAGAATGCATTGTTCCTGTGTGTTTTATTGATACAGCATAGATAAGTAGATATTGTTTTATTTGACTCAAATGAATGTGTTAATTATATTAACTATGGACAATTAATACAGACAACTAAAAACAAACCAAGAACAACCAAAAAATGAATATAAACTACATATACTTAAAACTGATTAATAAACAGTTACTAAAAGAATAAACAGAATAGTTATACAACTGACACACTTTGTTTATGAATTCATTGGTGGCGAAACTGTCTCAAACATGATATTTTCATTATAAATAGAAATAATATATACATTGTATATGTTATATATCATATATATATTTGTCATAAATTTCGATTATTGTTATTGGAGAATATTAAAGAAATTCTTGTACAATATTGGTTTCGGCAAAAAAATACCAGAAAATACAAAACAGTCATTTTATGATGATTTCAATTTATCATGGGTTAAGGCAGTTGAACAAAAATAGGCATTTTTTTCAGTGAATTCTTTAGATACAGATTCAAAAATAAATAAAAATGGCAAACTTAGAACGTTTGCCAAATTCAAAGAGCTGTAAACGTTTGAGCGTTATTTATCTATATTCAATTTAAAGAAATAAATAAATACAATGGTGTGTTTTAGAATAAATGTAAATGCGCTAGAGACAGAGAAATGGCGACATACTTAACTCAAAACACCTTTAGAAATGAAAACATGTAAATATTGCGCACAAGGAAAGATTGAAAATGAACAACATTTCTTCGTTGAATGAACAACATATAGAAAATACAGACAAAAAATCTATTCTAATGAAGTCTTGAAATTCTAAAAAGTAAAAGTACGACTGAAGGAAATATGGCTAGACAGATTGAAGAATACTTATACATGTGTAACATCTTTTTCTATTAGGAGAGACTAGTGAGTTGGCTTCTGAGAGTTTGTTTATTTTGAATTTTAAACTGCATTATATCCTAATGTTAGAAATGTTAGTTTTCTTTTTTTTTCATCCAGTCAGAAACAAATCTGACAACGCAGTTCAACAAACTGCGTGTAATCATAGCTAAGTGTATATACAAGTATCACTAAGGCAGGAAATGATAAAATCTGATTGAGTTGAACTCTTGTTGATGCAAATACTTGTATCAGGGTTTAGTACAATGTTACAGCTGGTCAAAAGTCAACGGTCACAACTCCATATCTATTTTGAGATAAAGTTCAACTCATTATTCTGCAGATTCGTGTGTTAGGAGTTAGACACGTGCACGTGTGTAGCAATAATGTACATGTTTGAAATCACAATTTCCATAATAATAATGTTTCAGTCTATTCACAGTGAGTCGTGACGGAGTCGGTTTATAGTCGGTTGGGAGGAAGAACATAGTTCAATTTCCAGACACTGCTGCTGCTGCTTCTTACAGTGATTTAATGACGCTCCCATCACGTTATATACTTTCCATTAAAAATGTCAGCTAAAAGGAAAACCAATAACACATGTGTAATTAATAAATGTATATTTAGCCAAATTAGTTGTTACAATCAATTCGTCAAAACACGGTTTTTACGTGAACCCTACCCCACCCCATGCTATTGTAATGCGGTATTCTGTTCAGGTCCCGCTGCCCGTGTATCAAATTAAAATATGACGGTCATTGATAAATTGTATAACTACTACGACATGTGTATTACAGACGAGTTCAGTCGTGCGCTGCTATAAACGAGACAACACACAGACCATTAAAATGCGTGCGTTCCACTTTGACATGCCGTTGTCAATTATTGAAACGTTACACAAGCAGTCCAAATAAATGCAACGAGTTGAAAAGAGCGGGTACCCATGCATTTTCTTCCATGAATAAAATTGATTTATGATTTCCTCATAGCGTTACTTCAGGATAATTTGAAAATATTATATTGTGTTCACGTGTATGTCAAAGATTGCACATCATGTCGGGGGATCATGTTTGTTATCTCAGGTATTCTTGTACACACATACATTACATACATTATAAACATGTGTAAGGATAAATACAGCGATAAGGGATGTTCTAGAGTCGCTGTGCGTTCAGGTGGGCACGGTGCTGGTAGTACATCTTATTGTATTCGATATATATAAATGTATGTATTTCACCAAAGACTATAGAGACAAATAGTCTTTGATTTCACAAACTGCGTGCAGGCCATATACAGTCAGCTTGCGTGCACGTAATGCTCAAATGAATGTGGTTAATTA